GGCGGCGTCGCGAACGTGGCGGTGCTCTGGCCCGCCGGCGGCGAGGCCGGCTCGGCGATGTCGGCCTTCTTGTCCTTGGGGTCGCCCTGGGCCGACACCTCGTCCCACACCGATCCGGGCCCGGCCGACTGGCCCGTCATGCGCATCTGCCGCGTCTTTTCGGCGAGCCTCCTGCTCGCCTCCTCCTCCTGGCGCTTGATCTCCTCTGGGCTGTCGTTTTCGGCCTCTCGCGCGGCGTAGGCGGCGAGGCGGTCGATGAGGGCGATGACGATCTGCTTGATGTTGACCTTGGGGTGGAGCGCCGCGCAGGCCGAGAGGAAGGGGCCGAGCGTGCGCAGGTGGAAGTCGTCGGGGAAGACCTGGATGACAACCTCCATCAGGTACTCCTGGGCGATCACATCCTTGCAGTTGACAACCTGCTCGAGGATGCTGGGCAGGATGGTGCGCTGGTACATGTCGAGGTCGACGCCCTCGAGCTGGCTGAGGCGGACGAGGTTGGTGCCGACGAGGATGCGGAGCTCCTTGCGCTCCATCTCGCGCTTCTCGCGGTCCCTCGAGTGGCCCTGGTGCTGCAGGCGGACCCAGAGCTTGTTCATCTCGATGAAGTTGGTGAGGACGAAGCCGATGCTGTCCTGGAGGTTGCCGCGCGGGCCCATGTCCTGGCCGATGGGCAGGTGGTCGCGGGTGGCCCCGCTGAGGAAGTGGCGGAGGAAGAGGCCGCGGGTGGGGTGCTGGACGCCGCGGCTCATTTCCATGACGTCCTTCATGATCTCCTTGATGGGCGCGTCGGGTATCGACATGTAGACGCTGCCGACGGTGATCATGAGGTAGAGGCGGGGCACAATGTTGCCGCTGTACTGGACCAGCTCGTAGAGGTCGGCCAAGTGGTGCTTGCCCGTAGTGTGGGCATCGTAGAGGTAGATGGACAGGTGACGGAGGGCATCGAACACCGCCATGTCTGTCGGTGCGGGGAGTTTCGTTGCAGCGGGACCCGATTCAGCAAGGGCCGTGCGATGGACAGGCCGAGCGGGCGGCGAGCATGGAGGTTCGGTCAACGGGCAACTTACAGAGCTCGTAGTAGTTCTTTGGCGAGAGCGACGAGGTGCGAAGCTCTGCGAGCATGGTCGATGCGCTCTTGAGGGCATCCATGACCTGGTCAGCATCCTTTGGCGAGAGAGCCAGCAGCAACGGCAGAGGAGTGTAGACCGACAGAGGATGAGGCTGGATGAGCAAAGAGGGGCGACGACGGCGGCGGCCGGGTTGCGAGCGTCCGACGTCGGGGCGAGGGCAAGACTTACCAGGCACCTCTTCATCTGGACAAGCTGCACCTTGACCACATTGAGGGCCTCGCTGAGCACCTTTGCCGAGTCGTCCATGGTGTCGGTGTGGCGGTCGGGCAGGTGGCTGGTGGCAGTTGCGCTTTCGAGTTCGCTCTCGAGGGTGATTGCGGCAGAGGGTTGGACCGCTGAGCCTGTCGCCCTGTTTGAGGCGCTTTGCGAGGTGCGTCGGAGGCTGGCAGACGATCGCTTGGCGGCGGATCGTGACGAAGCTGCGGCTGCTGCGGCTTCCGCTTCTGCTTTGGCTTCGGCCCGGCGCTGCTGTGCGAGGACGTCCGGGTGGATAAAGAGGTCGCTGGCCGGGTTGCGGGTGAGCTGAGGCCGGCGTCCCTTGTAGCTTCCTACCTGGCGAGAGTGGCGCCTGGAAGCGGTGGCCGAGGTCGAAGTCGAGGTCGAAGGCGGGGCTGCAGGATCTGCGGGCTGAAGAGCAGCAGATGCGGATGCGGTGGGCTCCTTGCGGTAAAACCACGACGGGTGACGCGGCTCAGCCCGATAGACGGAGGTGGGACGGCGAGATGCCGACTCGACAGAGGAGCGGGCGGAAGCACCCGAGGAAGTCGAAGCGCGGGGCGAGCCGATGGCGGCGGACGATCCGATAGCGGTTGTGGGAGCGGTGCGAGTAGAGGGGAAAGCTGGAGAAGCCCAGGCCACGGCCGCGGCAGAGGCAGAGCCAGAGGCAGAGAGCGAGGCGGGCGAGGCGGGCGAGGCGAGGGAAGAGGAGCTCGACGCCGTCGGATCGAGGCCGAGTATGGTGAAGTCTGCAGGCAGCGTCCTCTAGCGAAGAGGCGCACACCAGGCGGGGCAAGAACAGGTGGCGGCCAAGAGGAGTGGGAAAAGGCAGAGGCAGAGGCAGGCCGAGGGAGATGCAACCTGGCTCCAAACTTGATTGCGCGCTGCGAAGGCCGTGCCGGTGCACCGAGGCGATGGGTGCTCGCGATCCAGTCCTTCCGACGACGGCGGTGTCGTGATGCGATGGTGGCGGCAAAGGAAGCTCGTTGCGCTGCTTGAAGAGAAGAGGGACGAGGCAGGCAGGTGGAAGCAGCGACAAGGAAAGAGGCGGAGACGACGGGTGGACAGTCGAGTCGATCGAGGCAGCTTCCAAAGGTCCCAACGTGGCTGGCTGGGCGTGGGTGGCAGGCCCACCAGCCGACCGAGCGGGCGTCGCTTGTCCGCCGGCCGCTGCTCACTACCCTGCCTGCCTAGCCTCGCTCTGCCCGTCCTGGCCTGCCTGTCCTTTGGCTGACCCCGGCCCAAGCGCCTGGCCCTGGCCCTGGCCCTGGTCCTGCCTGCGCTCCTCCCCTGACCGCACGCGTCGGCGCGGTCGAGCCACCCAGCCGATGCCCGAGTCCCGCCTGCCCGCCTGCCTCTGGATCCCGACGGTGGACGCAGCCGTTGCCTTTCCCTCTTCGCTCCATTTCTCTTCCGGCCTCGCCTCCTCCGCCTTGCCATTCCACACGGATCTCAAGGACGCAACGAGAGGGCATGCACACTCCACCTCAGTCTTCGCTCCTGGCCTGCTTCTGCAGCGATCATGGGTGACATGCAAATGGAACGGTTTTGCGGGTATGGTGTTACAGGCGAAAGGTAGAAATACAGATGCAGCGCGTCGTGGGATGCGATGGAATGGATGGTGGTGGTGGTGGTGGTGTTGGTGGTGGTGTTGGTGGTACAGGAGTCCGATCCGATCGAGACCCGCACGATATCAACGGGCGAGCCTAGTCGTCCCGGTCGTCGTCGTCGCCGTCGTCGGCCATGGCATTCTTGCGCCTCTCTGCCGCCACGGCCTGGACAATGTCTTCGTGGCCCAGCTTGATCTTGCCCTTCTTGCCCGCCACCTCCCTCTTGCGCCCGTCGTCGTCGGTACCGACAAAGCCCAGCCGCGTCTTGAGCCGCGCCCGCTCCAGCTCGCCCTCGCCCGTCAGGTTGCCGCCGTCGCTGCTGTCCGACCACTGCAGCACCAGGTGGCGGCCAAGCAGGTGCGTGTGCTTGAGGTTGCGGAACGCACTCTCGGCCTCGCGACGCGACACGTACTCGACAAAGGCAAAGCCCCGCGTCTTGGAGTCGAACTTCTTGGGCAGCCGCACCGACTTGAGCTGCCCCTGGCTTCCAAACAGCTCGCGGATGTCGCGCTTGGTGGCCTCGAATGGCAGGTTCTTGACGATGATCTTGGTCGTCGCCGACTTCTTGGTGATGCCGGCGGCAGCCAGGTCGTCGGCGTCCTGGCCGCGCTTGGCGAAGCTGACGTTGAGCGTGTGGCCGTCGAGGACGTGGCCGTCCATGGCCTTCTGCGCATTCTTGGCGGCGTCGACGCTCTTGAATCCGACGAAGCCGTAGCCCATCGAGAGGCGCCCCTGGCCGCCCGGCTGCTTGGGGTCCGGCTTGGTCTGGATCCGCGCAAACGCAAAGTCCGACAGCCCGCCAAACACCTGGCCCAGGCGCTCGTCGTTGGTCGAGAAGCTGAGGTTCTTGACAAACAGCGTGGCGCCCGGCTCGGCCTCGGCCTCGGAACCGGTGCCGGCGCCGAGCACGACGGCGGCCGAGCGGGGCTTGGGAGCCTCCTGGCCCACCAGCGGCGCCTGCTTGATCTTGGCAGCACCGCCCTCGCCCGCCTGCCCATCGGCCTCGGGCTTGAAGACGCCGGCGGGCGCCTTTTCGAGGTAGAGGATCGAGTTGCGGAAGCGCTTGTAGGCGATGCTGAGGAAGGCGGTGCGCGCCTCGCCGACGACGGGCATGTCGACGACGGCAATGGTGCCGGTGGGCGGGATCAGCACCTTGCCGACCTGCCCGTGCCTGGCAAACAGCTCTTCTATCTCCTGGGCCGTGGTGCCGTAGGGGATGTTCTTGACCAGCATCGTCGTCTCGCTCCTCTCCTTGCGGTCAAAGGCGTCGACGTCGATGCCCTCGTTGGCCAGGAACTCCTTGGTCTCCTGGATGATGCGCGTCTCGGCCAGCGCGAGCCGGACGGCGGCATTATCGGCGGGGGAGTCCTGCGGGTTGAGGATGTCCGACTTGGACACGCCCAGGCGGTCGGCGATCGACGAGGCGACGGCGTCGCTGTTCATATACAGCATGCCCCAGTTGAAGTCCTTGCCGGCCTCGGCCTTGCGCTTCTCGTGCTTGGTCTGCTTGACCGTCTTGGGCGCGTCGGGCTTGGGATGCTTGTCGACGGCCGGGATCAGGTGCAGCAGGCGTCCCTGGAAGGTGGCGCCGTCCTTGGCGCGGTAGGCCGACAAAGCATGGGCCGGGTCGCCGAAGGTGACGAACGCCAGGCCCTTGGACGCCTTCGTGTCCTTGTCGAGCGGGATGTGGACCTGCGGCGAGGCGAACGCATCGAGGAGCCGGGGGAGAGGACGGAGAGGGTTGGTCAGCGTGCCGTGGCTTCGGCTTGTCCCTGCCACCGCTTCGCCCTACGCCCGTCGACCGCCGAGGCCAGCGCCGCCGTACCCTGGTGGCGATCCTCCCGCTACGTTCAGCTTATTACTATCTAGATTCCAAGTATGTCCTCAGCACCGTCCCGGAGGACTCTGCTGTCCCTATACAGGTGTGTCATCCTGTAGGGTGTTGATCGCCAGACCAGGGCTTCGGCGACGGCGGCGGCGGTCGTTGGAGCTAGGGCGACGGGAGCTGCGCACGCAGCGCGCTGCATCGTCGACGACGAAGAATGACTCACCTGGCTGACGTTGCCAAACGATTCGAAGAACTCGCGGATGTCGTCGGACGACGCCGAGTAGGGCAGGTTGCGGATAAAGAGGCGGCCGCTCTCCATGATCTCGTCGACGATCTTCTGCTCGCGCTGGGCAGTCTCCTCGGCGGCCTTGCGCTGCTGCTCCTGCTTGCGCACCACCTCCTCGTCCTCGCTCTCACTCTCGCTTGCCTCTTGCTCGCCGACGTCGTCCTCGTCGTCGGACTGCTCGAAGGCCTTCTCGACCTTGTCTTTCGGGTCTGCCTCGTCCTCGAGGCCGACGCCGACGCGGTGCCTCATCCTGCGCCGCATGTACTCCAGGTCGTCGAGCTCCTCGTCGTTGACCGCTCCGTCCTTTTCGGCCTCTTCGACGTCGGCGGAAGCGTCGCCGGGCGCACCCGAATCGCCTGCCGACTCATTGCCGTCCTTCTCCTTCGTCTTCTTCCTCTTGTCCTTCTTCTGCGCGTCCGCGGCGGGATCGGCAGGCTGGCTGCCGAGGATGTCGCTGGTGGTCTGCTGAGGGCCGAGCTCCTCGTTCTGCCACGTCTTCCGCTTCGACTTGGGCGCCATGACGGCCATGAACTCTTCGAACGAGACCGCCTTGGACTTGTGCTTGGCCTTCTTGTCCTGCGCGCCTTCGGTCGCCTTGCTGCCTTCGAGCTTGGCCTTCTTGCCGTCCTTGGCGGCAGCAGCCGCAGGGGACGCCTCGACGACGGCAGCGCCCGCTTCGTCGGCGGCCTTGCGCTTGAGCGCTTTTCGCTTCTCGTCCTGCTGCTTGAGCTCCTCGTCGCCAATCTTTTTGGCAAGCTCGACGGTGATGCGGCTGGTGTCGATAAAGGTGCGGTTGAAGTAGTCCATGGCGTCCTGCGCCTCCTGCTCGGATCGGTAGCCGACGAAGCCAAACCGCCTCGAGGTGCCGTCGGGCCGCTTCATGAGCTTGACGTCGGTGACGGCGCCGCGCTGCGCAAAGTGGTCGCGCAGCCTCACATCGGAGAGGTAGGTCGGCAGACCCTTGACAATGATGCGCGACATCTTGCCAGAGGTGCCGGGTGGACAGACAGATGTGGTCGTTCGCGGGTGTCGAGACGGCAGTGAGCCGCTCTAGCCGTAGAAGAGGGGGATTCGGAGCAGTGGGTCGGCGGTGATGAGCAGCGAGGGAAGGGGAGAGGGGGTCGTGGTAGCCCAGAGCCAAGCCAGACGAGCCTTTTATCGCGGCCTGATGCCCGTCGCCCCTTGAAATTTCCCGCCCGCCTCGTAAAACTTTTTTTGTTCTGCGGCCGCCCGGCCTTCGCTCGCTCGCTCGCTCGCTCCACCCGCACCTGGTCGTTCTTGCCGCACGAGAGAAGCTTCCCAGGGTACAAGCGTGCATCGGCGCGTGACGCGCGTGCCTCGCTTGAAAGCCTGCCTGCCGGCTTGCTTGTTGTTCATGGCTGCCGCCGCCGCTGCTGTTGGTCTGGCGGGTGGAGGAGGCGGCGGCGGCAGCGGCGGCGGGGTCAAGAAGCAACGTTCTCTGTGACCAGCCGCTTGCTTGCTTGCTTTTCGATGGCTGTTGCATCCTTTCACACCTCTTAGACTCTCTTCCATCGATCCACCTACGACGTCCGGCAACCCAGCTTCGCTCACCCATGACACTGCCCTCGTTTTGAAGGGAGGAGAGGGCCATTGCCATCGCGCACACTGCCCCACCAACGCTACCACTACTACTGCCCTGATCTGGGCATTCCCTCCCTCAGCCACCACCACCGGCGGCATGCTCGGCTTCCTCCGATCGACATCGAGCTCATCGCTCAACGGCTCGGCCTCCGCCGCCGCCGCCGCATCAGCCGACCCGGACAGCAGCGCCTCGCTCGACCTCTCACTTGGTGCTAGCAGCAGCGGCGATGTCGACGACCGCAGTGACAACGACGACGACAACGACGACGACGACGACGGTGACGCCGACGGTGACGCCGACGACCAAGGCGACCTCTCGCTGCCCTCCGAGGACGGCGACCTCTCCGCGTTTGCATCGCATGCTACAGTGAGCAAGAGCAGCAGCCACGGGTCGCTGCCCCGCTCCCCTCCGTCTGCATCCAACAGCCTCACACCGGGGGGCGTGCTGGGTGCGGTGCGAGACCAGCACCCCAACCTCTCAGTGTTCCGACCCAGCTTCACCGACAGACTAGCCTCACCACGTACCGACAGTCCCAGCCAGGCTGCGGGGCCGGCGAGCGCTAGCAGGCTCCCTGCGTCTTTGTCGTCGTCGGCCTCTTCCGCAACCTCTCCCGCCACGTCTTCACGCGGCAGCCTTCCGGACTCGGATTTGCCGTCGGTCAAGGCGCTACAGAGCAAGCAGGTCTTCATGCTCAAGCCAAAGAAGCGCAGGCCGGCTAGTCCGCCCGAAGCCTCGACCGAGGTCAGCAGCGGCACCACCACCGCTTCGTCTGGCTTCCTGATCCAAGGTGGGTCGAAGCTCCACGCCAAGGGCGATGCCGCGGCTGGCCCGACATACGCTACAGAGCTCACACAGGCGCCAGCCCCTTTGCCCCTCTGTCGAGCAGGCCTGAATCCCAGCCCAGCCATCACAGAGGACTCGTCAGCCGGTAGGCGAGTCAGCTCGCCGAGCTCCAGCTGGCCGACAACAACCACGCCAGCTGTGGACAGGATCCGCGCCGAGGCAAGGCCGGCCACGCCCCTCGGTTCGGGTGGGTCGCCGAGCCTTGCACGCACGCCGGATGCTTCTGTCCGCGGCATCCTCCGACTGCCCAGGACGCCGGGGACTGGCAGCAGTGTGCGCTTTGGCAAGCGGCTCTACGACGACGGCGACGAGAGCGCAATGAGCGTCTCGGCCGAGGCGAGCCCCGAACAGCATCGCTCGCCCGGAACCTCAAACGCCACAGAGACCGACCAACAGAGGGCCGCCCGCATCGAAGACGAGGCCGACGTCGAATGGTCGCTCTCGGTCGGCTCGCCGCAGAGGCGCGACACGCCTGGCGGGCACGGCAACGGCGCGTCGCTCACGAGCTCGCCACACGCCCAGCTCAGCCTCAGCTCGCTCAACGACAGTCCGGACCACGACCAGATCCGCGCCCTCCGCGACCTCAGCACCAGCACCGAGGGCGACGACAGCAGCGCAAGCTTCAACGACAGCAGCGACAGCGGCTCGCAAATCAACAAGTCTCGACTGCCCTCGAGCAGCCCCACGGTCCGCATCCCAGCACCAAGAGCGATGCCACCATCTCCGCTCGGCCGTGATGCATCCCCGTTCATGGAGGGGCCCGGCCGCGGAATGCCCTCTGATGCGCTCGACGGCAACGACAGGCACGAGTCGTCCGAGTCTCGTCTGACGGGCCTCTCTGCCGCCTTCGACGACCAGACAAACGAGGCATCCAACCTCTTTGATCTCTCGATGGATAGCATGCGCAGGATGGACGACACCCGCTCCCTCGCCAACATCGATGCAGTCCGCACAGCCGGCCGAGCGCTCCGATCTCCGCGCCTCGGCGACGTCAGTCCGCCGCTGCGGGAACCCAAGTCCTCGCTCGATTCGATGCCCTCGTCGATCAGCTACGACTCGTCCGAAGCCAGCTTCAGCGAGAGCTTCCTCCGCGAGGCGGGAGCAGAGATGCTTGCCGGACTCGATTTCGACTACGTCGAGAGCGCATCGACCTCGTCGAGGGAGGCCGGAGCCGAGGCTGGAGAAGAGGCGCATGCGGGTGAGGACCAGATGGCTGCGGCAGCGCCCGAGGAGGGCTCGCATGACATCCATCCGGCCGATGAAGACATGCCTCTCGAGACGCCACGTCCTACGCGGTTTGCCCAGCAGCTCAAAGAGGCGCAGGACGATTCGCTGCCGACATTGCTCCCTCTCGAGGAGGCCACGAATGCCGAAGCCGAGGCAGAAGCAGTTGATTCCGAGACGGAACCCGCTGTGGTCACCATCGCGACGCTCGAGCAAGACGAAGCCGACGACGAGAATCTTTCACGCGAGCAGCAATTGGTCGACAGCCCCGCAGCACAGCGGGACACGGCGCCGCACGACGCCGAATCTCCAATGTCGAGCTCGCCGCACAAGCACTCCGACTTCTCCCTCCCAAACACGACGCCGAGTCAGCCGAGCATCGAGGCAGCTCCGATCTCGCCCGCGAAGGACGGCGGCGCGCCTCGAATGCCCTCCCCAGAGACACCCGCGTCGGCGGCACGCGTCGAGGCGCTGTCCCGGCTGACACCCGGCAACCTGAGCATCGCCACGACGGCGGCAGAATGGGCCACGCCTCAGTGGACCGGGCCCACGTCGGTTCGACACAGCGCAAACGGTTCCGAGGACAGCGTCGACCGATCCCTCTCGTCATCCGCCATTGCCTCCTCGCCCACGCGCGAGAAGTTGGCACGCAAGATAGGCGAATTAGGCAGTCGAAGCCCATCTGCTGGACAGATGGTCCTCCGACCTGGAAGACTCACGAACGACGGGACGTGCTCGACCCACGACCAGCGTGAGAGCGCCGCCGATTCGGCCACGTCTGATCTCGAGGAGATTGTCGCCGTCATCCAACAGCTCGATCAGGCGCACACTGAGCACGGCAGCTACCTCGTCAGCCGGGTGCAGCAGGCCGAGTCCAAGTTCTCGCTGCTCTCGCAGGCCCTCAAGCAGGAGACCCGGGACAAGGAGCGCATCGCGCGAGAGAATGACGTGGCGAGGAGCAAGATCCAGCTGCTTCAGGAGACGGTGGACACGATCCTGAGGGAGCACGAGGTCACCAAGCAGCAGAACCAGGCCAAGGACGACGAGGTCGAGAAGCTGGTGCTCAAACTCAACTCGCAGCTGGAGAGGAGGCAGCGCGACAAGGACTGGCAGGTCCGGTGCGAGGAGCTGCAGCGTCAGCTCGACGAGGAGACGCGCGCGCGCGCAGTCGAAAGGCAGGACTGGGAGGTCAGGCTCAGCTGCGCTCATCGGAGTCAAGGCACACCCGCCGATGCCAACGCAGCTTCCGGCCCGACAACGGGAACGATGGACCACGAGGAACGACAGCGCCTAATCCAGGAGGTGCGGGAGCAGACGCGGGACAGCTGCCGTCGCGATTTCGAGATCCGCAGCGAGATCGCCCAACGGCAGTCGCAGCAGGATTTTGAACGTCTCCAGGCGGCGCTCGAGGCGGCTAAGCTACAGACATCCGCGTCGGACCTCGAAGCCGAGCGACAACAATGGCAACTGCAGCATCACGAGGAAGCTGCCGCGCAGGCCCAGGCGACAGAGGGGATGCGGCTAGAGCTGGAGGCCCTGCGGGAAGACCTGCATCGCGAGTCCGACAGACACGCCGAGCGAGTCTCGCACCTCGAGGATCAGCTCCACGAGGCGCGCCAAGAGGTTCAGGAGCTCGAGCAGCAAGTCTCGACCAGCAAAGATGGCCAGACGAAGGCCGACGATCGCGCTGTCGCTCTCGAGTCCGAGCTTCAGATACGCGCGACGGAACTGCACGAGTGCCAGCAAGAACTCCTGCAGGCCAACAGGAACTATGCCCTCGTCCAGGCCGAGCTCGACGGGGCGCAGGATGCATTGCGACAGCGCGACGGAGAGCTGCAGTCCCTCCACGCTGAGCTGGACGAGTCTCGAGCCGCGCTCGACCAATCCCTGGACAGGAAGCAGTCCGAGGTCGAAGCGGAACTCGAGCACCTGCGCGCGGATGCTCGCGCCTCTGCGCGGGCCGCAGAGGAGCTCCGGACGGAGAATGCGCAGATCGAGGCGATGCTGGAGCAGGCCAACGAGCAGCGGAAAGACGACCTCGAGGCGATCGCCAAGCTCCGCCTGAGCCTCGACGAGGCTGGGCGGGAAAAGGAGGACGTCCTCGTCAGCCTCACGGAGCTGGAAGAGCACCACGCGCAGGAGCAGGCCAAGCTGCGCGAAGCACAGTCCCACGCGCAGCGGCTGTCCGAGGACAAGGCAAAGCTACTGGTGCAGCTGCGCGAGGCCGAGGCGATCCAGGACGACAGGCTGCGCCAGCTCTCGTCGCAGCTCGAGATGGTCTCGGTCGAGCTGGAGGCGTCGCAAGCGCAGCTGGAGGCCAACACCCGGACCTCTGCCGACCACGCCGCGCTGCAGGAGGAGCTAGTCCGGCTCCAGGCTCGCGTTTCGGCGCTAGAGCACGAGGTGGCGGACCGCGGCCTGACAATCGTCAAGCTGACCAAGGCCAAGGAAACGCTCGAGGACGAGAACACCAACTACGGAATCGCGCTCAGCGCCAAGCAGCTCGAGCTGAGCATGCTCAAGCGCAACGCGCGCATAGCGCTGGGCGAGGCCGCCAGCACGCCGAGGGCCGACGCTGCGACCAAGCAGAGCGGCGCCGTCGTCAGCGCCTTGCGCACCACGACCNCGGCCGACGCAGCCAG